ATCCGATTATATATTACTAGTACCCCGGAATACGTTCAGCTGTAGTGTCGTACCAACAATTCAGATGTAATACAATTCCCTTTTTAATTACCTTGATGTGCATCCACCTCACTCGAGACTCTACCTCAACACATGAGTTGACAGGTGGCGTCTGTTCTGTGGTTTTCAGCAAAATTTATGTGGCAGGAATGTAAACTCTTCAGCAAGCACACCAAGGCTAGTCACGGAACGTCCGAAATTTCCCCGCGACATTCTCCCCCGCTTAAGTCCGAGCTCCGGCGAGGACCAGTTGGATCGTAGCCAGCCGTAGCACACGAAGCAAAATCCGCCAAACCCAATGGAGAAAGCTTCCGCCGGGCATACGCCTCCCCATACGGCACGCTCATCCGGTGCAGGCTCGGCTGCACCCGCTGCTCGGATAAACCACATGGTGACACCGACCTTTGCAGCGCACACCGATCAACTTGTCGCCCAAATACAGTTGTTGCTCGAGCTCCCGTCTCCAACCCCACCGACCCATGTTGACCCGGACCCCAACACGGACCTTGTTGACCAGCCCGGAGCTCGGGGAGCATCGATCGAAACGTCGTCCGCAGGGCATAGTCTGGCGTCCAACCTCGAATGCACCTTCCGGGGGCTGTTTGAAGCTTTGTCCGTGTCGGCCGTCAGCAATCAGGCCCTCCTGGACCGCCTGGGCCGGACCGTGCGGATCGAGGCGGCACTCCGATTCGTCCTGGCCAGACTCCTACCGAACGGACCACACAATATGCCTGCGGCCCTCTGGCGAGTAAATGTGGAGGTCGAGAGCCTTGGAGTTGCACTGAAACAAGGCCCGAGAGGAACGGGAGGCCGAAATGGCGCTCCGGGAGAAGGTTGAACAGGAACGGGGCCAAGCCAACACTGAGCGCAACCAGCTGGAAGAGCGCGTCCGCGGACTCCGGACAGAACTCCGTACCTGTAAACGTAGAGGTGTCAATTTGAGCACCTATCTGGAGCAAGCACTCGCCGAAAAATAACGAATCTCCGATGATCTGGGATTCACCCAACAACGTCTGAGCGTCCATCTGGCCGCTACAATGTCCGAAAAACGCCGGGTGTGGAAGTTACAGACAGCGGTGGTCCAAGGAGAAGGCTAAGAGGTGGCGGACACGACGGAACGCCAGGACTACGCCCTCCCTCGGGTCCGGGAGGGAAGATGCAGCCCCGCTAGCTTTTTTGAATCAGAAGAGGGCCAATACCGAAATCGGCAACCGACGCCAGGAACAGTAGACCGAGACTGAGGCACTAGCCGGGACGAATCAGGCAGCCTCCTCTGCTCATGCTCGGGTCCGAACGCAGGAGCGTTGAAGGGCTCCCGTAGCCCCGGCGGCTGCTCCGGCGGCTAGAGTGCAAGCCGCACAGCCTCCGGAGGTCGTGGCTTTGTTGGGCAAAGTCCGGGGACTCCAGACTCGGCAACGGGAAGCTCAGCATGAGGCGAAAAAGTACAAAGAGTTGGCGACTCGGGTAGAAAACGCCATTCAAGCCCAGTTATCCTCAATGGCTGATCAAGTACGCGAGCTGGACCGACAACAGCGGTCGCACGAGGAGGAAGTCGCAAAGGTGAAGAAAGGTACCGGGTCGATGTAGCAGGCCACCGAGAGGCGTCCAAGGCCCTGGTGACCGCCACGCAGCGATTCCCGGACGTCGTCCCCGCCTTCTTGGACGGGTCAATTCGCACTTCCGCGTGACGAGCGGGCCGATGTTTGACCGACTTCTAGAGGCGTGGGTCCGGGATGACCCAGCCCTCTTCGAAGTCAACTGTGAGAACCTTTCCGCATTCGCCTTCCCGACGCGACAACCTCCGTCCACACGAGCTCCCGAATCCGCGGGGTGTCGTATGATAATTGGTCCGTGGTCCTGGCCCGGGACCAAAGGTCACAGAGTCTGGCTGTCCCGACCCTTCCGACCCCGACCTCGCAATCCGGAGCGGAGTCATACCAGTGGTCTCCCGGGCCAACCCGCACGATGATTTTGGTCACAGGTGCGTCGTCCGGGGCCGCAGATGCTTTGGTCTCTACAAAATCGGGGTCGTCCATGACCCCCGGGACTACCGGTACGGAATCCGCGGACGCGGCTTCGACCCTCATCTTCCAGCTGCCCAGGTGTCGACTCCGTCTTCGAAACGTCCCTCTCCCGGTACGTCGACGCAGTTGACGAAAAAGGCCCGACGCTCCGACCCTGATGCAGCGGGACCCCTCGGTGCCTCCTTACCACCCCCGGTCGATTCGGCGTATGCCTCCGTGGTCGCGAGGAGCCCCTGGGAGCGGTACTCGACGACCCTGGTGTCGTTCGTTCCGCTTTCGTGGCATCAGCTCCCAGAATGGCGAGAATTGGACCGGGTCCTTCGGTCGTTTTGGCAGAAGTACGCACACTTGATTTGGAGCCATTCGTTTATGACGTCGTCCGGCGCGGCCTAACGCGAGGTCAAGGCTCTCATGGGACCTTTGTTGAGGATTGCCGGGACCCTGTTCCGCGTAGTCCAGGCGTACGGGGTCCAACTGCTGCGCTTCCTGTGCTACCCGCACTCCTACTCCCTGGTGACCGCCACGCAGCGATTCCCGGACGTCGTCCCCGCCTTCTTGGACGGGTCAATTCGCACTTCCGCGTGACGAGCGGGCCGATGTTTGACCGACTTCTAGAGGCGTGGGTCCGGGATGACCCAGCCCTCTTCGAAGTCAACTGTGAGAACCTTTCCGCATTCGCCTTCCCGACGCGACAACCTCCGTCCACACGAGCTCCCGAATCCGCGGGGTGTCGTATGATAATTGGTCCGTGGTCCTGGCCCGGGACCAAAGGTCACAGAGTCTGGCTGTCCCGACCCTTCCGACCCCGACCTCGCAATCCGGAGCGGAGTCATACCAGTGGTCTCCCGGGCCAACCCGCACGATGATTTTGGTCACAGGTGCGTCGTCCGGGGCCGCAGATGCTTTGGTCTCTACAAAATCGGGGTCGTCAGACTGAGGCACTAGCCGGGACGAATCAGGCAGCCTCCTCTGCTCATGCTCGGGTCCGAACGCAGGAGCGTTGAAGGGCTCCCGTAGCCCCGGCGGCTGCTCCGGCGGCTAGAGTGCAAGCCGCACAGCCTCCGGAGGTCGTGGCTTTGTTGGGCAAAGTCCGGGGACTCCAGACTCGGCAACGGGAAGCTCAGCATGAGGCGAAAAAGTACAAAGAGTTGGCGACTCGGGTAGAAAACGCCATTCAAGCCCAGTTATCCTCAATGGCTGATCAAGTACGCGAGCTGGACCGACAACAGCGGTCGCACGAGGAGGAAGTCGCAAAGGTGAAGAAAGGTACCGGGTCGATGTAGCAGGCCACCGAGAGGCGTCCAAGGCCCTGGTGACCGCCACGCAGCGATTCCCGGACGTCGTCCCCGCCTTCTTGGACGGGTCAATTCGCACTTCCGCGTGACGAGCGGGCCGATGTTTGACCGACTTCTAGAGGCGTGGGTCCGGGATGACCCAGCCCTCTTCGAAGTCAACTGTGAGAACCTTTCCGCATTCGCCTTCCCGACGCGACAACCTCCGTCCACACGAGCTCCCGAATCCGCGGGGTGTCGTATGATAATTGGTCCGTGGTCCTGGCCCGGGACCAAAGGTCACAGAGTCTGGCTGTCCCGACCCTTCCGACCCCGACCTCGCAATCCGGAGCGGAGTCATACCAGTGGTCTCCCGGGCCAACCCGCACGATGATTTTGGTCACAGGTGCGTCGTCCGGGGCCGCAGATGCTTTGGTCTCTACAAAATCGGGGTCGTCCATGACCCCCGGGACTACCGGTACGGAATCCGCGGACGCGGCTTCGACCCTCATCTTCCAGCTGCCCAGGTGTCGACTCCGTCTTCGAAACGTCCCTCTCCCGGTACGTCGACGCAGTTGACGAAAAAGGCCCGACGCTCCGACCCTGATGCAGCGGGACCCCTCGGTGCCTCCTTACCACCCCCGGTCGATTCGGCGTATGCCTCCGTGGTCGCGAGGAGCCCCTGGGAGCGGTACTCGACGACCCTGGTGTCGTTCGTTCCGCTTTCGTGGCATCAGCTTCCAGAATGGCGAGAATTGGACCGGGTCCTTCGGTCGTTTTGGCAGAAGTACGCACACTTGATTTGGAGCCATTCGTTTATGACGTCGTCCGGCGCGGCCTAACGCGAGGTCAAGGCTCTCATGGGACCTTTGTTGAGGATTGCCGGGACCCTGTTCCGCGTAGTCCAGGCGTACGGGGTCCAACTGCTGCGCTTCCTGTGCTACCCGCACTCCTACTGGCCGGAATTCCTTCGAGAGGGAGTGTCCTTGCGAAATCTAATCACCTTGCACGGTAGTCAGGCAATGGCCGATTACGTCCAGACTCAAGGTCCTGAGTGGTGGCCAGTCGTGCCTTTTTTGGGTCGTTCGAAACCATTCGCTCCCCCGTTCATGTCCGTCCTGTCCTGGTTGCATGGCCGGACATTACGCGCTAAACTCTTGAATCGTTTTTCTCCCGGGAACCCGGCGGCCTGTACTCGCGCGGCCATCTCGTCTGCCATCGGATGGATGATCCAGGAGGCCATCTCGGCTCGGGACGTAGGAAATGTCGGCGGGGTGTATCCGTTCATCGTGGGCTCGCATTCGCATCCCCCAGTCGGTTCTCAGTGGGCACGCGGTCTGAGGCCTCCCCAGGGCCTGACTCCTGGCTCTCCCGATCCGCCGCTTCCCGTTCATCAGGCTTCACTAGGGATTCCCACTTCGCCTGCGCCCGCTTCGGCCGCGAATCGGGAGTTCCTGCTGTCTCCGTGACTCATTCTCGTATTCCGTGATAAACGAATTATAATCGACCAGGAGCAATCGCCGTGTCCAGTGGGTCGTATCGTCAGCGTGTTGCACCAAGTACTCCACTTCCCGGCCGTCGTCGTGTCGCTTGTCCAGTATGCGGAGGACCGGGGAATGAGAGTTCGCGTACGCCACGTCCCCATCAGGGAAGTCAACCCGTTCCACAAAGCTCGATCGGGGCAGTAAGTCGTCTTCCAGGACCGTGTCATCACTTGCGGTCCCTGATTCTGCGGGTCCCGTGTACCGTTCCGGGACCTCGTCATTGAAGGGACGGGTCCAGTATCCGTGAAATGCTTTCAGGCGATCGACGTTGATGTGCACTATCCGATTAGGGTGGACGGCAGGTAAACCCTGTACGTGTTATCGCCCTGTTTAGAGTACACCCGGTACGGACCGTGCCAATGGTAAGCCAGCTTCTGGACCCGGAGGTCCTCAGGGTTCCGGGACTTATGGAAGTGTTGGTATACCCATACAGAGTCGGTGGGACTGAATTCCACTTTTCTCTGTACGTGGCATCCCGGTTCTGGCCCCGGAGCAGCTGGCCTTCAATCATCTTCCGAGTCGCCATTAACCAAGCACGATGCTTCCGACGCCACTGCGGCAACTCGTCCGACTTCCATAACGGCTCCTGGTTGGAAAATACCAAGTACAGAGGCTGGACCGGGTCCCTTCCGTACATGCAGAAGAACGGAGTGTCTCCCAGAGTCTCCTGATGGGCGGTCCGGTACGCCCACATGAGTCGGGGAAGGTAGGTGTCCCAATCCGTATGGGCCGCATTGACGTACATTTTGAGCATCGTGGCGAGGGTAGAATAGAACCGTTCGACTAGTCCCTGTCCTTGAGGGTGCCCCGGTGCGCTGGCGACCTTGTCGATTCCCAAAGTCCGGTACATAGTTTCAGCTAACTTGGACACGAAATTTGACACCCGGTCTGAGAGCAGTTTGTCCGGGACACCGTACCGGCACACCACTTCGTCAACCAGGACCTGAGAAAGGAGGATGTCTTCAAGTCCGGGACTGGAATAGCCTCGGCCCACCTCGTGAAGTAGTCCATAAAGACCAGGATGAACTTGTTGCCTCCCGGAGTCGAGGGTAGTGGCCCAAGGGCATCAACGACAACGAAACTGAAGGGGCCCCGGAGCTCGTATACAGGCATCCTTAGCAATCGCCCTTGTTTCCAGGGCCGAGTACCCTTCGCCGCACTGTAGTGTACGCAGCACCGACAGTATTCAGCCACGCCCTCCCTCCACCGGTGCCAGTACGCGATTTGGCGTACTCGTTCCAAGGTTCTTTCCCTACCAAAATGGCCAGCCAACGGGGAGTTATGGCATAGAGACAGAACGTCCGTGGTCATGGCCACGGGGATCACCGGAACCAGGTTCATGTGTGGGTTTCGTAGTGGGGATTTTAACACAACGCGCCGGTACAATACACCGTCCTTCACAGAGTAATGTTCGGAGGTTCGGGAGACCAGTCGCATCAACCAAGGGTCCAGCGGGAGCGCGTTTCCTTCCAGATACGCTTTCATGGCCGTCCCAAATGGGTCCCTTACCTGCTCACGCCGGAGTACCGCGTCCGGGTGCGTGTAGGTGTCGTCTTGATAAGGTTGTAGCTCACCGGGTGAGGACCCGGAGGGTCCGGGGCTGGTCTCCCGTTCCTTGGGTCGTCCTTCCTTGGGGGTTTCTTTGCCAGGAGGGTAGGGGGCCGGATCCTCAGCCGCGGTCGCCCGGGACTGGCTCCGTGTTACGGCTCCGACCACTCCTTTAGCGATTGCACACACTCGTGGCCCACCCGTAGGTAGCGGGAGTTTGGAATTATTCCGCTTCAGGGTCCCATCGTAGAGCGACGGCTCCGGGGCCTCCCTTCATGTCCTCCTGCGTTTCGAGGGGTAGTCGGGACAAGCCATCCGCACACCTCATGAAGGTCCCGGGCCGGTGGATCACCGTGAAATCCAGGCTTTGGAGGTGTACTGCCCACTGGGCCAACTTCCCGTTCCCGGACTTCGATCCGGTCTTGTACAGCCAAATAGCCAAACCAAAGCTGCATGGTCCGTATACACCGTGAAATGTCGCCTATCGACGTAAGGCCGGAACTTGCCAGTGGCCCATACCAATCCATAGCATTCGATCTCAGAGACTCCATCTTTCTTGGAGATCCATTTCTGCTGAGTCGCATCTAGCGCTTGGCTCGCGTAGGCTATTACTCAGTGTCTCCCTCTCTGTTCCTGCATCAAGGCTGCCCCTAGGGCGATTGGACAGGCGTCCACCAGGATCGTGAACGGGAGATCAAAGTCCGGGTACGCCAAGATCGGAGGGCTGGCCAGCTTTCTTTTTAAGGTATCCAGGGCCTGTTGACATTCGGGGGACCACTCGAAGGTATCGGTCACCTTGAGGTGTTCCAGGGGTCGGGAGATAGTAGCGTATCCCTTTATGAATCTTCGGAAGTACCCTGCCAGCCCCAGGAAGGACGGCACCTGAGCCACATTCCGCAGGGGTTTGATTCTCAGGACGGCCTTGACCTTCTCTGGGTTCGGAAGGATTCCTCCCGGAGTTATCGTATGTCCCAGGAAAGCGACCCTGTCCCGTCCCCACTGGCACTTGGACATCTTCAGTTTAAATCCGGCGTCCTGGAGGCAGGTCAGGACCTGTTGAATCCGGACTAGGTGGGTCCCGAAATCTTCGCTGAAGATGATTACGTCGTCCAGGTAGACCAAACATATACGCCACAGGTAGTCCTGGAGCACTCCCTCCATCAAGCGCTCGAATTGGGGGACCGCGTTGCACAGTCCAAACGGCATCACCAGCCATTCGTACAGGCCAAATATGCACGTGAAGGCCGTCTTCTGGATACTATCCTCGGCCATCCTGAATTCCAGTACCCCGAAGCTACATCCATCGTTGTAAAGTACTTGCATTTTCCGAGGACGTCCAGGTCGTACACTCGGGGCATGGGGTAGCAGGAGCTTCCGGTAGTCGATGCAGAAACGTATAGAGCCGTCGGGTTTTCGAATCATCAACACCAGACTCGCCCAGGGGCTGGAGGACTTCCGGATCAATCCCAGCTCCAGGTACTGACGAATCTCGGTATCCATGATCTCTCCTTCCTTTTGGGTAACCCGGAAGGGTACCGACTTAATGGGGCTGGCATCCGCCGTATTGATATGGCACTTCACCAGGTCTGTCTGTCCCGGAGCCTTCGATGTGGTCACGAACAGGTTAAAACGCAAGAGTAGTTTCCGAAGCAGCTCTTTCTGTGGCGGGCTGAGACTGGAGTCCTTCCAGTCGATCGGGACCTCGTCCTTGCTCTTCTGGAGTGCTGCACATACTCCTCCCGGGTGTGTGTCGCCTTCCCGACATTCATTTGTCATTTCCGCGTCGCCCCTTCCCCCCTCCTGAAAGCTCGCACTCCGGGGCGAGTGCTGGTCCGTGGCTTCCGCCGTCTCAAGGTCTTGTATCGAGGTCGGTACCAGGGTGACCATGGCCATAACATCGGCAGGTCGGATCTCGACAACCGAATCGGTCGGGTTCCGGAGTTGGATCCAGACACCGTTGTCCCGGCTAAGGTTGAGCGATCGAGCGACCTGTAGCGGGAATGCACCTTGCAGTAGTTCGACGAGGACCAGGAGTCCGTCCGCGACTGGATCGGAGAGCAAACAACAGATAATGTGACGAGAGCGGCTCCGTAGGAGAACGTTTTTCGATGCCGTCAGGGTGAGGTGGTCCGGGGCCGTCGTGGTGGTTGTCGGTGGTCCTGTACCGGGGTCTGCCCCCGTTGTTGGGGTGCACCCTGGGGTGTCGTCGTCCTCCCGGCAGAGATGCGCTACTGTTCGGCCCTGTCTGGGGAGGTCATCCTCTCCCTGGGTGATAAACGGGAGGGTCACTCGGTTGCCTTCGAAACATACTTGGTCTCGTCCGAGGTGAACGAGAGCATGCAACTTCCGGAGGAGATTGACTCCCAAGATGCACGGTGTGACCGAGTCTTCCAGAACCCAGACCGGGAACGTTGTAGATATACCAGCCAAGCTCGTTAACTATGTGGGCACTCACTTATATAAAAAGTTCATGAAATACCAACTGTTTGAAAAAGTGGGTGATTTGACTTGAATTTGAGTAGGTATAAATTATCAACAAGTTATTAATAATGAGGTGAAAAGTTGGCCCATATTATAGATACCGGATAGCAACTTGAGCGTCAGTATCCCCGAACCAGTCTTCCGCCGAAGCACAATGGAGGCCGGGGATATCGTAGCGTTCGCAACTACACTTGCAGCAGTAGCTTGTGTGGTTGCCGTTGTCGGACGCGATGGCAGATCAAACAAGGAGTCACCGATGAATGTTTACTCCATTCGAAACAACGACTGGAAAGGTATTTCTGCCCTACAGTAACGTTACAATGCCAACATATACTAAAACTAAAACTGTTCTACGTCACATGCGTCGAAGCCTGTATTAGATGCCCTTGGCTTCTTCGCTGTCGGGCTGTCTTTGGCAGCCACTTCTAGTTGCCCAAGCTCCGTCATTATGAGTGATTGGCCATGAAACACCACTACTATCCGGGCACAATTTACACTGACCAGATACTAGTAGTATTATTTTACCGGATTACTTCAACCAGCACCAACTTTTTCGCACTCAAAAAGTCGTCGAAAAAAATCAGGTGGATTTTACTTCAACCAGACCCTAACGTTAACGTGATTACATCTTTGACTGCGTAGAAAACCTCGACCACCAACAACAACGAAGGCGGGAAGCGTATGCGGATACCGGTAGTACGATCGTACTTGCCGAAGTAAGTCAAACTTGCGCGTGTCATAATGAATGTGACATGGCCAACATCATACATGCACTCACGCAGCTCTTGTCCTCTTGTCATAAATAAATATCCGAACTCAATTGACTAATCATAAATACTACGTAGCGTTACGTACTTCGAAATAATATCCTACAGCGTGGCCAACATTCTTGCCAGAAAATCACGCTAACTTACTGTGTCGCACTTATCCACATTGTGAAGAAAACATGGTTAATTGAGTTTTGATTATCATTATTAAGACATTCCTCCGCGAGGGAAAGCGGGTGCTGAAAAAGTGGGTGATTCTTTACTTCAACCAGACCCTTAGTAAGACTCTTACGACTTTTTCGGCGGCAAGTGCAGAATCCACACGAACCCACTGTGCGTTGGAAGAACCGAACTGGGGGAGGAGGCAAAGGGTGCACGGGTGAACGTACTGTACCCATATCTGTGGTGGGATTGACTGCGTGAAAATCAGTTGTGTGACCGACTGGGTGACCTTACCGTGCCCAACAACCACGAAGGAGTTGTATACTAGACCTCCAGATCATAGACTGAAACTTCAGCGTATGCGGATAGTGCGATCATATGTCGTGCAGTATATCAGTATATCAATCCATCGTATTGCAAGTGTTAACAGTAAGAACCTTCATCCTTTGAAAGTGCGTGTAACTGTCAGCGGGTTTTTCTGGCAAGAATGTCACGCTGTTGGATATTTACGACGCCAATGTTGACTTAATGACAAGAGGTGTGTCAGTGCATGTATGTATGTTGTACGCATCCAAACCATCCATTTAGTAAACCTTGGTACTTGGTAGTGCAATCACAGTCTGACGTTAACGATTGGATTGACTTGGCTCAAGCTGAAATACCATTCATTTTCGAATTTCCACCATGAAGTTCGCACTCCTTCTCGCTTTGACTGTGGCCGTCGCTGCCTTCGCTCAAGACCAAATTGCCCTACCCAAAGTTGCTTGGGGCGATGAGGCCCCTGAAGACGGTTTCGAAATCCTCGGGGGACAGGAAGCCCAACTCGGCAAGCACCGTTACGTGGCTGGGCTCAAGGTGTCGCCCAATAATGTGACCGTGTGCGGCGGCAGTCTGATCGCCCCCAATGTCGTTTTGACAGCGGCGCATTGCTTGACCGGTAAACTACGTACTGTAGTCGTGGGCACGCACTATTTAACCGGTTTTGCCGACGGGGAACTGGCCAATGTCACTCAGGAAATCAAACACCCCGATCGCTACGACGTGGGCATCGCAATCTTGGACCGCAACATCACGACCATCGAACCTGTGAAGGTGTCGTTTGAATTCGTTCCGGCGGACGTGCTCACTTGGGTACGCGGCTGGGGATTCGTCACGTGGGATGGCCCCCAATCGCCAGTGCTCAAGGAGGTCAACGTCACGACCTGGAACAACACCAGGGCCTCGGCTGCGTTGACCTCCTCGCCAAGGCCCTTGTACGACACGGAGTTGGGTGCTGGAGGGGTGAAAGGAGAAGATTCGTGTAACCGCGACTCGGGGGGACCGTTGACCATCGAAGAAAACGGTACCGTGCGCTTGGTGGCGGTGGTCGCCTGGGGCGATGGCTGTGGTAAGATCGGCAAGCCAGGAATCTATGAACGCACCAGTGCTGCTCGTGCCTTCATTGAACCGTACTTGCCGAAGTAAGTCAAACTTGCGCGTGCCATAACGAAAGCGACATGGCCAATATACTGTACAACCCACTTGGTTGAACATACGACCGACTTGGTTATGGAAGACCAAACTCGCTCGTGTAGTGTTTGCGGTAAACATCGTTAATTTGATGAATAACCATCATGGAGTAGCACCTGAATAATGCAGC